GGTCATACCGGGGCTTTTCTCTCTAAACTAAGGGGAAAAGAGGCCTAAAGGGGGGGGGGGCATGTTAATAGAAATCGGCTTCAGGCAACAGGTCGGGGGTTTTCCCTAGAGATCTAGGGACAGAGTTGAAGAAAGGGATAATGACTGGCCTCTGTTTTCCCCAGGCCCCGACACCTCCCCCGCGTTCCTCCCGAAGGCTGCGAGCTGGCACCCTGGAGGCTCTGGTCAGACACTTGCTGGATGCCCGGACATCAGGGGCTGATGTGACCTTCACTGCAACCTTCCTGGCCACCCACCGGGCCTTCACCTCCACTCCTACTCTGCTAGGGCTTATGGCTGACAGGTCAGGCTCATAGGGATCAAGGGTCATAGAGGTATCTGGACTTTCTAAAGCCAGACTATCCCACCAAAATAGCCAAAGACACTGGGGGGTTTGGAAAAAAATGGACAGATAGAATCTCTCTCCCTCCCCAGGCTGGAAGCCCTTGAAGTTCATCCTACTGATGAACTAGAGAGGACAAAAGGGTGAGTGACCCCTGATTCTTAACCTCACAGGCCCCTCTGCCTGAGCTGCAGCTTGACATCTGACCCCTGGCTGATTCCTTTTCTCCCAGGGTAGCCATCTCTGTGCTGTCAACCTGGCTGGCCTCTCACCCTGAGGATTTTGGCTCTGAGGTCAAGGGTCAGCTTGACCGGCTTGAGAGCTTCTTGCTTCGTACAGGGTATGCAGCAGGGGAGGGTGTTGGGGGGGGCAGCGCTGACCTCATCCGCAACCTCCGGTCCCGGGTGGACCCCCAGACCCCCGACCTTCCTAAGCCCCTGGCCCTCCCCGGCGATCCCCCTGCTGACCCCACGGATGTCCTGGTGTTCCTCGCTGACCACTTGGCCGAACAGCTGACCCTGCTAGATGCGGTGAGACCCTGACCTCTGCCCCCTCCATACCCCCTGGCCCTTTACTAACCTTACCCTGGCTCTAGATCCTTTCCTTGCTTCCAGCCCTTCCTGATCCAGTTCCTAGCCTCCTCAGTCCACCCAGTTTTGACTTTTTCCTATTTCCCCTTGGTTGTGACCCTTCAAATCCTGTGCCCCTCTGGTTCCTTGGCCACCTGAGAGCCTCACACCCCTAATATTAGAAGGCTGACCTCTCTTGTCTATGAATTTTAATCTCTGACCTCTTATCCCACAGGAACTGTTTCTTAATCTGATCCCCTCTCAGTGCCTGGGGGGCCTGTGGGGTCACAGAGACCGGCCGGGACATTCCCACCTATGCCCATCTGTCCGAGCTACTGTCACACAGTTCAACAAGGTGGCTGGGGCAGTGGTCAGCTCTGTTCTGGGGGCTACTTCAATTGGAGAGGAGCCTGGAGAGGTGACCATACGGCCACTCCGTCCCCCCCAGAGGGCCCGGCTCCTGGAGAAGTGGATCCGAGTGGCAGAGGTAAGAGAGAGGATTGGCCTTGTCGGGGACCATGATGTGGAGAGAAGGCCCACAGCTTTGGCCTCCTTTTGTGACCCTCACAGGAGTGCCGTCTACTCCGAAACTTCTCTTCAGTTTATGCTGTTGTGTCGGCCCTGCAGTCCAGCCCCATTCACAGGCTTCGGGCAGCCTGGGGGGAAGCAGCCAGGTGGGCAGGATGGGGCATTGGATTGGGTTGAGGGCTGGGAAGAGGGGGTGCCAAGCCAGGCCTGTTCTTAACACCTCCTGCCCTCCATCCCCCAGGGACAGCCACAGGGTCTTCTCCAGCCTCTGCCAGATTTTCTCTGAGGAGGATAATTATTCCCAAAGCCGGGAGCTGCTCCTGCAGGTGAGGCCTGTTCCCTGGTGTTCT